ATCATTACTCTTTTTGTTATTATGATCATTATGATTATCCTAATATAAGAAGTATAGTATCTGACCACCAGAGAGCCTTCATGCTTACCCTTATACTTATACTTATACGAATATTAAACAGATATTTTCGGAACGTACGTTAAGTCAACGAGTTTTCCCATCATTCGCTCTATTAAAGTAACTGTTTAGTGAGGTTTGGGATGTAAATGCATATGTGACGTCATCATTAATGTGGGTTTCTAGTCCTTCATAATTTTCGCTTTTTGGAAATGTTTGGTTTCAGTTTCTTCCACTCTCATTCGGCGAACGTCAGATTAATGCCTTTTGTAAAGCTTAAACAGCGGACAAAGGAATTGGAGAGGAATAGCCGATCACAAGACTCGCTAAAAAGAGATTATTCATAATATGAGATTCTGCTCCATTTTCTGGACATCAAATCCTCGCCAGTGACGTCAGACCAACGACATCGGTGACGCGCGAAATGTCAGTCGCCAGATGTCAGAAGTTGCGCAGCGTTCCTTGTCGGGAATGTCTCGCGTTGTGTAATTCGTTGATACTGTGTAATAATTAACATCGTCGCTATTAACATTATCATTACTAAGTACTGTGATGATACATAATTAACATCGTCGCTATTATTATCATTACCAAGTAGTTACATTATCATTACTGAATACTGTCATTCTTCTCATTATAATTGATATCATGGACATGTTGATGATAGTGAAAGCGACGGTAATAATAACAATTCCCACTTTCCAAATTATGAAGTGCAAGGAGAGAAATGGGTAAGGGCTCCCATAGGCAGGACTTCTTTGCAAAGTTCATCATAAAAAAAATAAGTTGATGACTGAAATAACTGTGATACTAATATCATCAACAACAATAATAAGTGATAATAAAACAATTATTAGATAGTGTAAGCATAATTATTGTAGGAATAATTGTATTTACAATAACAACGATGATAATACGAGCAACACCAATTATTGTTGTTATTGTCATTATAATTATCGCACTACCGTTATCGTACTATCATAACCATCATGTCCTTTTCTGTCGTGGGGGAGGTAAAGGAGCCGGGGGTGGGGCCCAATGTTGGGACCCCCCCCCCCCCCGTCTTGGGCCTCAGTCCACGGTTCAACCAATTTTCCAGTCTTTTCTTCCCTTCCTTTCTTTCTTCCCTTTCACGGCATGAGAGCCGTGCTGAAAGGATAAATGGCTGGCTTTGTGTCAGTCCCGAACGGCTTCTTGTAGCCATCAACTTAGTCCTCCTCTGGTTGATTGTCTAGCCCTTAGCCCTCATGGGGACTGTGAGGGGTGTTGTTTCGAATCCCCACATGCCCCAGGTTCACCCTAAGCAGGCATTATGAAAGTATTATCAGGTCATGTGATGCTGACAAACCATATAAATTCTACGATGGACTGTCTCGGAGACAGCAGATCACGCTAACCAGGCTACGCATAGGGTATCAATACACTATACATTATGTACAGGATGCAGTTTTGGAGGCAAAGCCAGTTACATATCACCAATGCAAAATGTGCAAGGCGCCCAAGTCGCATAATCTTACACATTACTTACTTTGTTGCTCAAAACTGCATCCTATCGATCAAATAGCACTGTCCAGAGACCAACACTTATTGATTATATTAATTTTATCATAGACACTGGTCTTGTCTTAAAAAACTAGATGATATGTGAATAATGTATGCATAATGACACAGCCCTTTAGGCATGTAGAACTAATGTTTGACTAATAGCCCTTTACATAAATATAAGCATAGCCAGTTGGATAGATGCAGTAGCATCTTACCCTGGCTTTTTACAGGGCATGTACACTGTTCTGTAAATAAATATTATCAAATCAAATCAAATCACCCTAAGTAATGATGAAGATTTTGTAGCTTTATTATGAACTAGCCTCCCTGATTTTGACTTTTCTGGTTCCCCGACCCCTGGCTCTCCTTTGCCCCAGCTCCGATATGATTCCATAATTATCATCTTCACAGTAATGATCACATCATTAAATTACCATAATCATCATTATCATCACTGTTAACATCATTAATTACATTACTGCATCGTATGTCTTTCGTGATGGTAGGTAACGGAAGTAAATAAAGAAATGATAATTCTTAATCTTATTTATTATTTTCATCCTAACGACTATCCACGAAATATCCCGACAGTTGGGCGCACCCCCCCCCCTCGAGGCCCTGAGCGGCGCCGAGGCAGTTATCTCCCCCAGCGAAGAGGCTGCTTCCCGACGGGTCTGGCCGGCCCCTTGCCCTCTGGCCCGGCGCCCTTGCTCGGCTGGCGCGGGCGGCCGGTGACTCCGAGGCTGGGCTTGGAGGTCTGCAGCATCCCCCACAGGCTCAGGGCGCGCTTCATCCTGTAGGAGTTTTGGATTTCTGAGGGAGCATGCAGGTCCGCTGCAGGATGGCCATGGGCGGCTTCCCATCTTTGCCTGTTCAAGCCGAGGATGTCAGGGATGCC